GAAAAAACCTCAGAAAATTATAAAAATCACAACGGGAAGAAGCAGCAATCAATACTAGGGCTGAGGGAATTAAAAACTTTGGAGTAGGACTTCCAGCCAAGACAGTGTAATAGGGAAAAGATTTATCTTCCCACATGAAACACCCAAGATATACATGACAAAATTGTTTTTACAATATTGGACATCAGTCAATGAAGGAAAGTGAATCCTAAGAGACAGCACACAAATAGAGGCCACATCATCACATAGACATGACACTTCCTAAGCACTCATGCGCCTAATAGCAGAGCTTTAAATTCCAAAAGGAGGAATGCTCTCACCAGAAGACACAACACTGATTCCTTGAACTGGAAAAATGCCATCTGACTACTTTGGGTCCTTCATGTCTCTGGATCCGCAGGGGAAAGAAGAGAGTTACCGTATTGGCTTTTGTGATTAATCCCATTTAGTAAGGGGAAATCAGATTAATATTACATAATGGAGATAAAGAAAAATATGTCTAAAATACAGAAGATCCCTTAAGACATCTCAGTACTAGCATGTCCTGTTATGAAAGTTAATGGAAAACTACAGCATACTAATTCTGACATCACTACTAATGACCCAGAACCTTCAGGAATGTAGGCTGGTATCACCTCACCAGGCAGATATGATTTTTGAGGGCAAACAGAATATAGAATCGGTAGTTAATACTGTTGTTGCTGTAAAATGCCGTTGAGTCAGTTTTGACTCATAGCCACCCTGTATAGGGTTTCCAAGGAGAGGCTGGTGAGTTTGAACCACCAACCTTACAGTTCAGATTGCCATTGCCATCCAGTGCATTAACCCACAGCGCCATACCAGGACTAGTGGAAGAAGGTAATTCTAAATAGTAGCTGCAAAGACATGACCAGTTGCAGAAAGGACAGCTATCACTGCTTTTAGCATTTTTTTCTTATTTTGTTGTATATGTGTGTGTGTGCAAGGAAGCATCAGAAAGTTCCTGGAAAATGAAATTAAAAGATAGGGAATTTTTCCATAAACTTTTTTTGGTTTTGTTATGTGTGGTCAACTTGGTTCCAACTCATAGTGACCCTGTATAGGGTTTCCGAGGCTGTAAACCTCTATGGGAGCAAGAAACCTTGTCTTTCTCCCATGGAGGGGCTGGTGGATTTGAATCCCGTACCTTGTGTGGTTAACACCCCAGTGTGTAACCCACTAAGTCACCGTTAGCCTTTAACAAATACATTTATTTTCTCATCATTTAGAAGAGCAGAAGAACAAATTCAGGGTACAAGCTCTCGGGGAAGGCTTTTTGTTATTGTTGGCAATGGGGGAAGGTCCTTGTCTTTTCCAGCTTTTATTTTTATGGTTTCTTTTCTTTTTAAGTTTCTCAACCATTTTTTTTTTTTAACTTTTTTATTGTGAATTGAGTGAAGGTTTACAGAGCAATTCACTAGTTTTACATTCAACACATCATGTATAGACTTCATTTCATTTCAATGACTGCAGTTCCCTCAATATAACATCACTTGTCCCATTCCACCCTGTGATTCTTGTTTCCATTTCATCTTCTTTCCCAGAACTCCTATTTTCCTTAGGCAAATGCTATCCTTTCTATCTTGAATGGTTGACCATGCCATAGTGTGCAAACCTCACTAGTGTTGACGCTTCCATATATCCATCTATTGCTTGGCTGAAAATTGAGCCACGAGGTCAAGTTCAATTCCAGACCTGAAGGGTGACTGAGAGTCAGTCTTGAATTGCCCCAGCCTCTTTATGACTAGTAAGCCTGGTCTTTTTCATAGTTTTTTTGTTTTGTTTTGTTCCACATTTTCTCCCACTCTATTCAGGAATTTATAATGTGATCCCTTTCAGAACACTGCTACAGTAGCTAGGGACCATTTGGTTCCTTTGGTCTCAGGGTCATTTCTAGTAACTTTTTGAAGCACCCTCATATTAATTTAATCAGATCCCACAAAGTCATCAGTTTCATACAAACTGATATTTATTACCTATGAAGACGTTATTCATTATAACTTAATGTTAAGATAAATCTCATAAGCAGGAATCCTCTCCATCATACTTTATTCTCTTTTGTGGACTGTAAATGTAACTATTTCAATTGTTCTAGTTATATTACTGAATCTGTTATCTTATCTTTGAGAAAGAAAGGTGAGGAAACAATGAGTTTCGATAACTTCCCAGTTTCAGTCTTGGATGACAGGGAAGCCAAATACTAGAGGATGCTCAGTAAATGCTTGCTGATACACCAGGACAAAACCAAACCACTTGCCTTCAACCTATAGGACTAAGTTGAACTGCCCTGTATGGATACAGACTGCCACATCTTTCTCCCTTTAAGGGGCTAGTGGGTTGGAACCACCAACCTTTTGTTTTGTTGTTGTTAAGTGCCGTGGAGTAGATTCCTACTCATAGAGACCCTGCATAGGGTTACTGAGGAGCAGCTGGTGAGCTTAAACCACCGACCTTGCAGTTCAAACGGCTTTGCAGTCTGGTGCATTAACCTACAGCGGCACACCAGGACTCCTTTGTTTTGTAGCTGAACACTTTAACCAGTGCAACAGGGCTTTTTTGTTGATACCCAACCCAACTCCACTGTCACGGAGTTGATTCTGATTAACAGCGAATCCTACATAAGGTTTCTTAAGCTATAAAACCTTACTGAAGCAGACGGCCTCATGTTTCTTCCCCAGAGCGGCTGGTTGGTTTGAAATGCCGACCTAGCCCAACACTACACATGTAAAATATTTTATTTTTCTAAATGTTGCTACAGCCTTGCAGTCCTCGAGGCTGACACTGCAATCAATGTCACCGTAATCATGCTTCTCCTTTTCCTCCAAGTTTCCCTTCTGCCTTACTAAGCAATCAACCAAACTCTCTATAATCAGTGTTCCCTTTAACAACCGGGTCACTGGGAAATCGCAAGCCAAAACCAGTCCTCCGGGTTTCCCGTAACCATGGCTACAAGACCAGGAAGGGGCGGGCTTCGCATCTCTTCTCTCCTAGGGCGCGGACAGCAGAAGTTCAGGGGCGCGGGCTGCACAGCTACAACGTTTCCTTAAGTCCGGGTAGGAACCGGAGCCTCAGCCGGATCCCGCGCAGCCAGCCACGTCAACCTAACCCTACATTGCCCTCCCCGCAGCCGACGCATCCGCCAGGCCTGGGTCGCGTCCTTCCAACCCGCATTCTCCCCGCCTTTCCCACAATGCCCCGCTCCAGGCCCCGCCTCGCCCTGCCAAGCCGACCGGCGTTTGTGGAGCCTACGGAACTTCGTTTCGCTGTGTGGTCGTCGCTACGCACCTCTGTGGGCTAGCCCTCCTATCTCCCTAGCGGCGGTCGGTCTGAGAGTGCGTACCTCCCTCCCGCACGCAGAATCTGGGCTCATCTCGGCTGTGCCCAACACGGGGATTGAGGATGGGGGAGTAACTGCAGGAGACGACCCGGCAACCAGGAGGTGGGCATGGGCGGGGGGCCCGGGACTCTACTAGAGCCCGCGGCATCCAGGGCCCTTCGGCAAGGGAGGGGCGAAATAAATGCTTGCGCCGAACTTCAGCTCCTCTCACCTTCCACCACCACTTCGTTCTGTTCTGGATCCCCATCTTTTGTCTGCAGGTTGTCTACACCTACCTCTGCCCAGTGGTCCCCTGCTTTCTGCTCCACTTTCTCACTTTAGCCTCATACTCAGGCTCACTTCTCTTCATCAGACCTGGGTCGCAGACACCAGCTATACAGGAAAGTTGCATTCTTCATCTTTTGCCTCATCCCGAATCCCATCAGGAGTGGTGGCAGCACGAGGGCATCCGAATTGCATTTACCTGCAATTTCCACCTGCCCCGCAGTTCTGTACAGGGCTGCCCAGCACACCCAAGCTGACTGAGAGCAAACTGTAAGCAAGGAATACTAGTTGTGGCAAAGTGGTGATGCACAGTATACTGATTTTTTCTTATACTCGTCTTGAGTATCGATGTTTATTCGTCTCTATCAGTGTATCAAGATACATGTTTAGCGGTGGAAATGAGGGATTCGAATGAACTGAAGAACTTTTCCAAAAATGGAAAAAAAAATGTAGGACTAAATTTGCAAACTAGAAGAAAAGAGACACTGAGGCTACTAGGAAGGTTAGATTTCTCAAAACACTAAGATCTGTAGATATAATGTATACAGACTTTAATATGAAGATTCCTTTTACTATACAGAGGTGAGCGTGTTTATGACTCCCTTTTCATATTTTACGTATTAACTCCTAACATATTTTGCAATAAAGGTTACACTATTAACATGCCGTTATTCTGCTATTTTTATAAAATAGTCTTTACCTACACTTTTTGAAAAAAAAATCAGCCTTTTGTGTAAATACTTCAGTGCAATGTTTTGGAAAGGTTACGTGAAAAGTACAGAGACCCTTTGAAAAAATTATATCATGCATTGCTTTCTAGTGCCCCAAAACAATACTTCCCACAAAAGAAAACTAGACAGTTCTAAATGGCTAAAGAAATAATTTTAAAAGGGATCAAAATATTATCAGAGAATAACACTTAATCCAGGAGAAAAAGGAAAGAAAGCTTTTACCTACCTTAGCCTTTTACCTAGTTCTGATAGAGGGGTTTTTTAATGGGTATTTTGTTTTAATTTTAAATGCTCCAGCTAGCCACAACACTATCATTTTTGTGCTATATTCAGCGCTTTCACTAATCTTAACTGGCTGGAAGCACTGAAGCATAGAGCCTGGGACACCCAGATTTAGCCGTATATGTGGTAGTGTTACTGATCATGCATATTATTTGATAAACAAATTGCATTATTGCTGCTTTGTTTTAAATGTATTTTAACTGTCTGGTTTCCTCTCTTTAGATTAACCATTTTTGGAGACAGTTTTGTGGTGTTTGATTCACTCTTGGAGTAATGCGAACAGAAGTTCTCAAACTTGCTGACTGTATCAACTGGAATCAGCATTCCGTCTTAATAGTCACTTAAATTAAAACTTTTCTAGGGAAAGAATGGGTGTCTGGTTAAATAAATATGACTGTGTCAGAGACTTGAAAAAGATCCTTCTTTGTTATTTATTAGTTTATATGGCTATTTTAGTGAGCACAGACCAGGATTTTTACAGTTTGCTAGGGGTATCCAAAACTGCAAGCAGCAGAGAAATAAGACAAGCTTTCAAGAAATTGGCATTGAAGTTGCATCCTGATAAGAACCCGGTAGGTAAAAATTTCTTTTTTAAGCATCTGACTATTGTACTTTAGCAAGGTTTTACCTTAAATTGTCTTCAATTAGTTGTCTAAAGTCAAAAATCAAAACTGTTCTGTTATGCTAAAAACAGAAAAAGCAAAATTTTGTCAATTAGTACAGTAAAGAAGGATTATCAATACCAAAGATGCAATTCTCAATCTGTAAACTCTTACCAAAAGTTGTATTAATGGTATTAATCCCCAAACCAAAACAATAATGTCTGTGAAGTAGTTGATATACTTTAGTAAAGCAGGTTGAGATCAAATATCCTAGGACGGTAACAAAATTTTTCCCACTAGAACATTGAGGGAAGGATATGCTTTGCTTAAAAATAGCAGTAATGGCTAATAATAGCATGCTTGAATTTTTATTATTTCTCTAATACATAAGTTCACAGACTAGTTAGAAAGTATTATAAATAAAAACTTTAAGGTATCCAAATAGTAAATTATTACAAATAATGTATTCATTACTGTAATCTTTCAAAAGTGATTTAATTTTTATTTTGATGGTATTTCTGTAATTTATTTCATTAACTTTTCCCTAAAGAAATTCAATATTCATCATTAACCAGGAGAAAGACATGGTGGTTAAGGTTTTCTAAGGTCTGTTTGAACCACAGGATTGGTGGTTCAAGATCACCAGCCGCTCCTTGGAAACCCTAAGCAGGATCGCTATGGCTCTTAACAACAATAACTGTTAGACTTTTTAGATGTTGTTGTTAAGTGCCATCAAGTCGGTTCCAACCCATAGTGACCCTGTATTGGGTTTCTGAGTTGCCGCTGGTGAGCTTGAACAGCCGACCTTGCAGTTCAAACAGCTTTGCTGTTTGCTGTTAATGTCTGGCACGTTAACTCACAGTGCTACACCAGGACTCCAGACTTTTTAGATAGGATTATTTGATTTGATTCCATAAAGTAGAGCAACAGAAACTGATTATTTTTAAACCTGTTAGTTGGTGATCTTCCTCAGATCTACATTATTATATTTAAGGTTTCCATTTTTATCAGATTTTGTTTAAAAATTCAGAATATGATATGTATTTTCAAGTCTCCATATCTAAACCCAAACCCATTGCTATTGAGTCAATTCCAACTCATAGTAACCCAGTAGAACAGGGTAGGTTTTCTAGAAATACTTTTTTGTAGGCTTTACCGGACCAGATTGTCAGTTCTTTTCTCCTGAGAAGCAGCTGATGGATGCGAACTGCTGACCCTTCTGTTAGCAGCCAAGCACTTAACCACTGTGCTACCAGAGCTTCTTTCCTTATTTCAGTATTATTTAAATCAAACCATCCTTTCGGAAACATAGTTACAGATGAACATTTCCAACCAGCTTTGTTATATCTATTAGTTCTTATTTAAGTATGTGATGCATTGGAACATATACCTTCATTTAGTTAATATGTTGATTTTCTTAAGATGGCAAAAAAGTACAAATCCATTTCTTTGAAAATAACTTAGGGGTAAATATTTATAAAACTAAGAATTTGAAAATGTTTATCAGTTTTTTCCTGAATAATCAGTTATATTTCATTGAAGGAATTACTTATTTTATGTGATCCTATCCGTCAACCTTTTGAAGGATCAGTTCTCATTTTCCAATTTTTTGTTTTGTTTTTTTAAATAGTTCTCTTTATGTCAACATTTAATAACTCATTTTTTATTATATTTTTCTTCCTGTCTGGTATCTGAAGCCTTAGTGGCATAGTGGGTTACACATTGGTCTTTTAACCACAAGATCAGCAATTTGAATCCACCAGCTGCTCTACGGGAAAAAGATGAAGCTATATGCTCCCATTAAGATTTATAGCCTTGAAAGCCTTACACAGGTCATTATCAGTTGGAACCAACTTGGCGGCATACACCAATAACAATCTGATGTTGCCATTAAGTCAATTCTGTCTAATTCTGTCTCATGGCAACCCCATATGTTACAGAGTAAAAGTGCTCCAAAGGGTTTTCTTGTGTGTAATCTGTATGGAAGTAGATCCTTGGGCCATTCTTCCTTGTCACCACTGAGTGAGTTTGAACTGCCAACCTTTTGGTTAATAGTTGAGCACAAATCATTTATCATGCCTATGGACATTATCTGCTATCTAGTGTCACATATCACAGGATTTAATTAAACCTCTATGTAGGTTCTTAAGAGATTTGGATTGTTTCTCTGAAATAACTGTTAATATCTAATTTTTTTTTAACTAGAATAATCCAAATGCACATGCTGACTTTTTAAAAATAAATAGAGCATATGAAGTACTCAAAGATGAAGATCTGCGGAAAAAGTATGACAAATATGGAGAAAAGGGACTTGAAGATAATCAAGGAGGAGGCCGATATGAAAGTTGGAACTATTATCATTATGATTTTGGTAAGATGATAAGATTATTACTTATGAAATTTATTGTTTAAATGAGTTTAGAAAAGTTAAGTTTGTTTTACCACTCCACTTCTGTAGTTAATAAAAATCACCTTAACCTTCTCTTTAATATAGAATGGGAGTAGAATACAAAAGGAAAGTAAGTTGATACTTAGATATAAAAGTATTATATTGGTAACAATCTTGTTAAATGATTTAAGGATTATTGTTCAACTAAAAAAAAATACTGTTTACATTAGAAGTTAAATATCGAAGTCTTTCAAAATTTTTTAGACAGTCATATTTTCTAAGATCTAAGTTTAAGTAATCTCTTCAGTAGAATTGTTATTCTCATATGCAGTCTTTATTGATAATGACTTAAGGTGATGACAGGAATAACAAAAAATAGGGGAAAATATGGGAAGGAAACAGACCAAGGGAGACTAGCAGTAAACGTAGGGTATCAAAACAGGAAGTGAGCATACCAATATCCAGTATTTCTTTTAATCACTAATTCACCTCAAACGCAAACTTAGGTTTGAAACACAGTTTATATTTGACTAAATAACATATTGTAAATTCATATCAAGTCTCTTATGACTTACTGTCTCTTTAAATAATATTTGTAGGTAAATTCCCTACATTTTGATAGTCTGTTATCAGTGATTGGCAAACGACATCTCAGACCAAATCTGGCCTATTTTGGCCAATAAACTTGCTAGGACGGACATAGCTATGCTTTGTTGTTGTTGTTAAGTGCTAGTGAGTCCGTTCTTGTATATTTATTGTCTGTAGCTGCTCTTGAACGGCAAGGTCAGGGTTAAGTTGTTGCCAAAGGGACTGTATCTGACAAAGCTTAAAATATTATCTGGACTCTATTGAAAGATTGGTGATCCCTGGTATATAGCTGACAATATTATTTGGATATTTAGTAATATGAGAAATTATCTCCCACTAGTGTCAATTACTGTGGGAAGGAAATTTTATTTATGTAATACATTTGTGTCTACCTCTGAAAATTTTCTTATTATGTGATTTTAACAGTAGAAAATACTTTAAAGCAAAAACACTTCTTAAAAACCATGTAATCTGAGAACCAAATGAAGTTTGTACTCTAGTTAACAGTAAGGAACCAGTGTCCGTTTCCTGGTTTTAATATTGAACTGCAGCTGCTTATCTTGCTGTCATTAGAGGAACATGTGTGAAAGGTACACAGAAGTTTATATTTGCAACTTCCTGTGGGTCCATAATTATTTCAATATATTAAGTTTAAAGTATATATAATAGAAATGTTCTTTAGAGAAGAAATTAGGTAAATACTAAGACACTGTGGGGCTGTAAAATAAACACTGTATGGCTAACCACAATGTCAATGATTCAAACCCACCATCCCCTCTTTGGAAACCCTATACAGGCTTGCTGTGAGTCAGAACCAACTCAACATCACTTAACAGCAACAACAGCCGAACACCACTCAATCCCCTTCACTTATGACTGTCCTCACCTATGACTGTCCATATCAGGAAGCTAATTTGTTTAGAATATCCTTCAGTTGTATCACCAATGAGATTATTTACTTTGGCTTTTCTTTTAGTAATTCATTGTATAATCTTCAAATTTGAGATTTCATATAGTAATCTAATTTTAGGATAATTAAAGGTCAAGAGTAAGTAATCTGGTTTTTGTATCTTGGGTTTTGGGGGGTTTTTTTCATTTTAATTTTTTTTCTTTTATTTCATGTGAAGGATGTGAATATCTAACACCTAGTAACTTATTTTCAGACCATGACCAGTTTAAATTATGTTTGTATTTCTGGCACTTCAAAATGTAGAACTGTTATTACTACTGAATCTGATACAGAGATCGATTTGAGTAATCTGTTTTTATGTGAATCAGTAATCAATGGTGAAATTTTCATTTTATGATTTTTATGTGCTTTTAAAAATAGGTATTTATGATGATGATCCTGAAATCATAACATTGGATAGAAGAGAATTTGGTAAGTTTGGGTACATATGTTTTCTTTTCTGAAACTCGTAGGGACAAATGGGTTGATATTCAGAAATTATTTGTTTTTAGAAAGGTAATATAATATAGAGAGCCCCTGGGTGATGCAAGTGTTAATGTGCTCAGCTGCTTACAAAAACTTGGAAGTTCAAGTCCACCCAGAGGAGCCTAGGAAGAAAAACTATCTACTCCAAAAAATCAAGCATTGAAAACCCTATGAAAAAGTTCAGAGTAAGATGGTGGAATAAGCAGATACACTGAGCCAATCCTCTGCAACAAAGACATGGAAGACCAAGTGAAACAGATACAGATGGTGATCCTCAAACCCTGAACATCAGAGGATAAGACAGAGGGTGGATTGAATGCCAACTGGAAAAGAAACTGAACAAGAGCAGTGAGAGAGAAGAAAAACAGGCAGATTGTGGGCTGCATGAAGCATCACAGCCATCTTGAGCTTTTGTGAGCTGCTATCAGTTCAGCAGCCTGCAGACACAGGAGGTTGGCCGCGTGTACTCTGCTAGTAGCAGGTGTATGACTGGTCCCCACCTTTGCCCGTGGCATCCCCTCTGTACAACCTCTGCTCTGCCTGGGGTTAGTTGCTTGGCATAGCACCCCTGCTTGTAGAGGTGTGTGAACCTTCCTGAGCTATGCTACACACTAAACAGAGTACTAACTTCATCCACACTTTCACTCTCTACCACATCTACCAGAAGACAGATGGTGACTGTCTGAGAATACACCAGTATACAATTGTCAACTAAATATAAATGCAACACCATAGTGCCTCCAAGAAAACAATTTCAGCTTACACAGACAACACAGAGTGCTTCAAACAAGTAGCCAAAACAGAGTCAAAAATATAATACCAGAAATAGTATCAGAATTACCTGATAAGGAATTTTAAAGAATGCTAATTTGGCTATTTCAACTGATTAAGAGAAAGATCGAGAAAACTATAAAACTAGAAAAAAATCAGGAAACAATTTAACAAAATAATTGACAAAGCAGAAACCTCACAAAATCAGCAGTTAGAAGATTAACACTAAGACTTCAGGAATAGGTAATACATTCACAGGGCAAAGATAGAATTGAGTCAATGGAAAGCTGAATTACTGAGCTTGAACAAAAAGTTTCGAAGAAAACTTAAGATTTACAGGTGATAGGAATTCCAATATAGGAAGAGACAAACAAACACCATAGAGTTGCCCAGAAATTTCCATAACATCATGAAAGATGAGAAGATAGCCACTCAAGAAATTCAATGAATTCCAACCAAGGTAGACCACAAAAGAAAACCACCAAGACCTATTATATTCAAACTTTTCAAAATCACAGAGAAGGAAAGATTCCTGATAGCAACTCGAAAAAACGAAAAATTACCTATAAAGGAGAACTAATAATACTAAACTTTGATTTATCAGCAGAAACCATGCAGGCAAGAAGAAATGGAGTGACATATATAAAACTCAAAAAAATATTCCAAGAATCATATATTCAGCAAAACTGCCCATCAATTATGACAAAATGAAATTATGTAATTTTTCAGACAAAATAATTTATAAATACCAGACCAACCTTACTATAAAAAGGGAGTCTTTGGACAGAGAGCCACTAACAGCGTCCAACAACCTGAAACTAACATACATGACAGTATCACCTAGACTCAGCCCAGCTGGAGAAGTATGCAAAATGAAACAGACCTGTAAAACTGAAAATAGAGAACCAGAGATCCAGTTGTAACAACAATGAAAAAAGTCATAAGGTAAAAATGGAATTATTTAGTTATAGAACTTCCAAATGAAGAGGAAATCAAATAGTTTCAATTAAAAAATAAAATTAATAAAAATAAACGTAACTAGACCAACCTTTACTCTTAGCCCTGTTGTTGTTAAGTGCCGTCAAATGGGTTCCAACTGATAGGGACCCTGTATGATGTTTCTGAGGAGCAGCTGGTGAGTTTGAACTCCGACCTTATGGTTCTCAGTCTAGTACTTATCCTACAGAGTGCCACACCAGAAGTCCACTGCCCAACCTTGATCTGTAAAATTAATCTTAGTCCTAACCTTAACCCTAGCAATAAGCAAATCCTAGGCTAGCCAAGTCCCAGTGTTCCCCGTGCCCACAGGAGACAATCTCAGATCAGCTTTGTCCACATAGGGATTTAAATTATCCAGAAGCTGAATTGTGGACCCTGAGAGGGCCCTTCTTTAGCTGTACCCTAAACTCCATTTTCGGTCCTATAGTCTCAAGAAGTTCCTGGGTGGCAGAGTGGTTAAGTGCTTGACCCTTAGCTCAAAGGAGTCCTGGTGTGGCACTGTAGGATAAGCACTGGGCCACAAGGTTAGTTTGAACTGCAAGGTCAGTGGTTCAGAACTCACCAGCCACTCCTCGGGAGCACTACAGGGTTGCCCTTGAGTCAGAACTGACTCGATGACCCTTAACAACAACAATTAGCCCAAAGGTTGGTGGTTTAAACCCATGTATGTGTGGTGCTGTAGGATAAGCACAGGACTGCAAGGTCGGTATGACTTTGCAGTTCACACTCACTGTTGTTGTTTGGAGCCATTGAGTCGATACCGACTCATAGCAACCCTACGCACAGCAGAATGAAACACTGCCCAATCTTGGGCCAACAGCAGTTAATAACAGCACGGCCCGATCCTGGGCCAACAGCAGTTAACAACAGTTGGCAGCCTGCTTCCAAAAAGTCACAGACCTAAAAAATCTATGGAGTAGTTTTGTTCTGCAAATATGGAGTCTCCTCTATGAGTTGGAATTGACTCCACAGCAGCAGCCTCGTGAATCTCTTGAAAGCTCTGCTCAGCTTCCTGCTTCTCAGCTACCTCCTCTAGAGTTGGCAAACACTGATTGTCTCATTTCCATCTCCTTCAGTATCTTGACCCCCTAGTTCTTCACTGTATTGATAACTCTAATGCCTTCAACAGAGGTGTTTCTGATTTTATCTAGTTTTCCAATTGTTTGCAGTAGAACAGTTCACCCAAATTCCTTGTTTTTTTCTTTTTCTTTATCAGAAGTGGAACACCAGAATGTTCAACTTTTGTACAGAAAATAATGCTTTTCATTTTTCCATTAAACATGTCTATATATTGCAATACAGTATTATATCAGTGGTTACAAATAAGCTCTTACTAGTATTAAAGCAGAACCTCTCCTATTTGTACTGGTCATTCTAAATAGTACTCTGCACTATATGGGTGTCCTGCTAAAGGCAAATTCAAGAAGTTTAAGAGGAGCTCAACACAGATACCTTTTTTTGCACTTTTCTGCCCTAGTAAAAGATATTTGCTGTTCTGATGTCTTTTTAAAGTGAGTAAAGGTCATTTACTTGCATCAGGTCATTTGTATAGATTATACTGTACAAGGGGGCTTCAGAAAGTTCTTGGAAAAATTCCATTTATTGTTAATTCCATTTTTCTGTGAATTTTTGAAGCCCCCTCATATATTGTTGGCTAAAGAATATGTTGTCTTCTGATCTACCCCAGCAAGTTTATATTAATGTTTTTAATGGTTAAAAACCTTATTTTGCACTTTGTTTAAAATGTGATTTTCCAAGATAAATACCTCATTTTACAGCCAAGATTCAATTGTATTCGCTATAACTCCCTTATATTTCATCATATACCTCTTTTATTTGGTTCTTTCAGATTGTAAAGCACCTCTCAGAAGTACTTGACTTAATCTATGCTACTTCTCCATTGCTCTCTGGTGTTCAGCATGAGCTTGATAGAGTTTTAAAAAAAAATTAACAGTTGAAATGTTTTCTTCTTTCTGTAGGAAATAATAAAAGGCAGTATAAAAGATTTATGACTTAACTGCATTTTTAAATTATGATTCCACCTAAAAAAATGTTTAAACCAAAATATGAATGAACCATTATCCAAAAAAAATTCTAAATTGTTTTGATTTTATGTACTTTTAGATGCTGCTGTTAATTCTGGAGAACTGTGGTTTGTAAATTTTTACTCCCCAGGATGTTCACATTGCCATGATTTAGCTCCTACAGTATGTACTTTTTTATACTCCTTGATTATTATTTAAGCTTCATTAGTTCTAGTTGATGTGGTAAATTAGGTGTGGTTTGCTTTTTGTTTGTTTTTAATGGGATTTTTTTTTTCTCTATTGGTGTAATTATAATTATCAGATACTATGACATGTATATTGTTTTAAAATTTCCTCCTAAAGAATGCGTAACCTAAAGTGTTCAAGGAAGAGAAAGTGATCTTGTCAGAGAAATACATGTTGCTTTTTTCTCATAGTGGAGAGACTTTGCTAAAGAAGTTGATGGATTGCTTCGAATTGGAGCTGTTAACTGTGGTGATGATCGAATGCTTTGCCAAATGAAAGGAGTCAACAGTTATCCCAGCCTTTTCATTTTCAGATCTGGAATGGTAGGGATAATATTAACTTTTTAAACAAAACTTTGTAGAACTTTATAATAAGTGAAATACTAGAGAAAGCACAACATGTTGTAGAGTGTGTTTTTATTTTTAAATCTTGTTGTAGGTGCCATCAATGAGACTCTGTAATTACAATAAAGATTTTGGATTATATGAATGCTTTTAGATGCCATCTTGACTTTCCTGTATTTCCAAATTAAATATTTGCCAATTTCAGTTTCTGTCTTAAAAAGCGTAATTTTCCAATGTGTGTATTTAATGGTTTACAAATATGAGGATAGGGCCGGGGGAAGCTTCAGAATGTTTGTGGAAAATTCCATTATCTTTTCATTTAAATTTCCCATAAGCTTTTTGAAGCCCCCTTTTTACCTATTGGATATAAATATCTGATGCACTTTTCCCCCTTCCCTCCCCACGCCCAGTTTTCAATGATGAAACTAAAGAAAAACTATTGCAGATAGTAATATTATTTAAATGTTTTCCATGGACTCTGTACAGTCATAGTCTCAGAGTAGCATTTGGTTTTATGCTGTACTATTGACAGACATATCTTATTATAGTATTTAAAATAATGTAGAATCAAATGTATTTATTTTTAGTGAGTTTTAAAAAGAAAAAGTAAAACTTGTTTCTCTTTGTATTTAAAAAAAATAGGCTGCAGTGAAATATCATGGTGACAGATCAAAGGAAGATTTAGTGAGATTTGCCATGCAGCATGTTAGAAGCACAGTGACAGAATTATGGACAGGTAATTTTCTTCATTTGCTTGATTTTCAAGGTTACTTTGAAAGTGGTATTTTAAGTTTTCCAGTGGTAACAGTAACATTTTGGTCATGACTATGAAATTTTAAAATTAAATCTTTTCCAAGTTCTTAAGGGAGAATTGTGCCATTAGCTCTGACCTCTGCTAACTAGTGGACATTTATCAAATGAATTTTATTTTTATAGAAACTGAAACAATTAAGATGTGGAAAATGGGTATGAGATGAGGTTACGTGGAAAATCAGTTTTCAGAGTGCAATTAAATGTTTAATACTACAAGTGCTTCATTACTTTCATAAATATGTTACATCAGACAGTAAATTCATAGCTATAGAGTTTCATTTCATGGGTTAAAACTCTTAATAATAAGCTTTTAACTCATCAGATTACTTCAGTTGTATAGTGTAGCTCCTCCAAACTGTTCATGAAGTAATCGCCACAGTATTCACAGCTCAAAAGATGCTCATTTTATTTATTGAATATCAGTTATATCTCAAGGAGCTCTGGTAGCGTAGTGGTTACGAATCGGGCTACTAATCTCAAGGTCAGTAGTTCAAAAGTACCAGCTGTTCTGCGGGAGAAAGGTGAGGCTTTCTGCTCCCGTAAAGATTTACAACCTTGGAAACCCTGTACAGGGGCGCTATGAGTTGGAACCGACTCCACAGCACTTAACAACAGCAGTTATATCTCAGACACTGTGTTTAATACTAAGGTTGTAGTGTTAAAGTATATATTCCCTGCCTTTAACAGTTTAGTGAGAGAGACATTTGTAAATATTTAAAATCCAGTATAGTAACTTTTGATAAAGATGAGCTTCGGTAGTTAGGGAACCATAAGGGTATAAAGCCAACCCAGTTGAGGAAAGGGTTAGAAAATACTTTTTAAAAATAGGTTATAATTCAATCTGGAAAATAGTCTTGAGTGACAGCACTCTCTGGTGTGGCACTGTAGGATAAGCACTGGACTGCTGCCCACAATAACCACAAAGTCAGCAGCCATTCTGGGAAACAATATACATTGTTGCTATGCGTTAGAACCGACTTGACTGTACTTAACAGAGTGACTTCAGTGTTTGGGGAACTGGCAACACTTCCCCATGAAGCTAATAAAAAGGTAGGATAGAGTCATATAGGGAGAAATGACTGGATGAAAATGTAAAATTCAAACAAAGTGTAAATTTCTTTCTTAATAAAAGAAATGGGTTATCACTGAGAAGGAATTTGATGTGCTTAAAGAGGATTTTCAGAAAGTTAATGGTAATACTCAAAGGGATGGCAGGAAGCTGAAATTAGAAGGCAATATAGCCTTTTGAAGCATGTTTTCATTATCAAGTGATGTGATACTTGTTTTATTTGCTTTTAAGGAAATTTTGTAAACTCCATACAAAGTGCTTTTGCTGCTGGTATTGGCTGGCTGATCACTTTTTGTTCCAATGGAGGAGGTAATTTTATTTGTTTTTTTTTCTTGTGATAAATACTTTAAGTTGTAGTGATAGTTTTTTAAAAATGCTACAATAATTGATTCCATGTTATTTGAAACATTCATTTATATCCAAGATAATTATGTTTTGTTTAATGAATGTTACCCTTTTCCACATTATTTTACATGTAAGTGGTTATGAAATTATTAATTTTTTAATGTATCAGTTGACAAGTTTATTAGTTTAACTATGTTTTTGTTGTTAAGTGCCGTTGAGTCAGTTCTGACTCATAGAGACCCTGCAAAGCCGGAGTGGGGACACTGTTTTCTGCCAAAATGTGCAACATCATTCATGGGCCATACAAAATTATCAAATTAAAAATTAGCCTACTTATTTGGTCAAACATTTAATTAACTCACTCCTAATGTGATGGCGTTCTGCTCCTGTAAAGATTTCCAGCCTCAGAAACCCTGTTCAGTGTCACTATAAGTCGGAACTGACTCCACGGCACACAGTTACCACCAACAGTGTGATGGCTGGAGCTGCAGTTGTCTTGGCAGGGCCAGACCAAGTGATAAGGCCCACGAGCCAGACATTCCTCATCCCTGATGTATATAGGGTTTCTAAAGAGCTGCTGGTGGGTTTAAACTGCCATCCTTGTGGTTCGCAGTCCAGTGTTGATCCTACAGCGCCATACCAGGAGTCACTCATGATAAATTGTTCCTTCAGGCAGCCATAATGTATTTGACAGAGTGCAAAAATAGTTACTGACAGGTATACAGCCCTCCATAAATAATTTCTTTCAGAATTATGTATTTTGCCACATACTATTACAAATGGTAAGTTAGTACAAAATTATGTATTTGAGGAAGACAGCTTCCCATTTCTGTGACCCATACCCTCAGTCCAGTGAAAATGTATTACCCTACATACCAAATCACAAATTTAAATTCTGTTCCAATAATGAGATTAGTTAAAAATAGATCCCAGTATAACAAAAGATCTTAATTCATTAATATAATCTAATATATTAAATCCCAACATAAGTCTTTCCTCACACTTCACTTCTCAATCTTTATGAAATCATGTTGTGAAATAATGCCTTATAACTAAAATCAACCACCAGTCACCCATCTATCCAATAAGGTCTATTTAACATAATATACCGCTGAGAGGTACTCACTTTTTGGCTTAACACCCAGATTTCTGTCCATCTATCCATGAACAAACAATTGTAGTGTAATTGATTATCCATTGGGCTAACTAGAAAGTCAGTAGTTTGAATCTAACAACCACTCTTTGGGAGAAAGATGGGATTTTTCTACACCTGTAAAAATGTACAGCCTTGGAAATACTATACAGGGTTGCTATGACCAACTCCAAGGCGCACAACCACCACTACCACACATGAGCAAAACTAAAACCATTGTTTCACTTTTCACTGCAGATAAATTTCTTTTATGTATCACCATATGCTCTGTGAATCTCCTTCATTATATCTGATAGGATAAGCACTTGACTGCAAGGTCAGTGGTTCAAACTCACCAACTACTCCTTAGAAATTCTTTACAGAGTTGCTATGTGTCAGAACTCACTTGATGGCACTTAACAACAAAAAGAACAGAGATCTGCAGAATTTTCATATGATTAATGAAGAAGCTAGATAGTATATTACTGTAATGTGAGGATATTTTGTGTATCTTTATCAAATAGGTCCAGTACGTTTTATTTCCCCCGAATCAGGAGATGTCTTATGTAAAGGGAATTGGTAATTCGAGAGAATTAAAAGTAAGATCCTAGAGACTCTTGAGAAAATTAATCCTTTTCCTTGCTGCTAGAAATTCTCAGAAATTGAGGAAAAAGAGTAAAAGAATGGGAGAGTGTGTATGTATGTGTGTGTGTATAGAATAAGGAATTAAGTTCTTAGTATTAACCAGTAGAGTACAGATAATTGCCTTAGAATTGGCAAGGCAGTTTGTGGGAAACGTGAGTGAAACTGTAGCCTTAATAACCTAAAATTGCCTCACAGATTTTTGTTTCTCTCCCAGATTGTTTGACTTCACAGACACGACTCAGACTTAGTGGCATGTTGGTAAGCATCATTTCATCATGTGAAGAAACACATTTAGAAATTGATTTCAGACATTTTCTTTGTTAATTTCTTAAGCATTTAATTCATTTGTTTGTAATTGTCCTTGTTTTCTAATAAATATCTTTGATTTTAAATGTTCTTCGAATTAATTACCAGTATTCCATAAATTTTGACAGGTGGTACTTTTATTGTCATTCTCTGCCGAGTTTTTTAATTCAATTATTACTTCATCCTTGACCACAGAGTTACATATTAGTGTTGTTTTTTTTCTGCTTGAGTTTCATTGAACTTTGTGAATCTATAGATTAATATATTTTATCAGTTGTGGAAAATTCTCAGCTGTCACCTTTTCATCTACTGTGTCTGTCTCATTCTCTCTTCTCTTAGGATCCCAAATAGATATATACTAGATCTCTTATTTGTTTACCCACTTGGCTTGTCTAAAAATGCTTTCCAGAACTTGACGTCTTAAGAACTACACTTTACTGACAGGATTTTGTTGTTAATTAAGGGAGCTCAGCCACCATAGGTGGAAACTGTAAAGGCATTCATTTCAGTGTGCATGCAGAAATACACAGAGACTGTCTGATCAACTGTGTGATCATTATTCAAAGGACAGTTATGTTGAAATTTTTTATCTAATAGTTTGATTTTTCTTAAAATCTGAAGGAGATTTTTGTTGAATAGCCCATTTCTGTACAAAATAATAAAAGCAATTGTCTAGAAGTATACAACTGGGAAAACAAAAATTCATAATCTCAAGAAACTGAATGCTCTTAAAAAAGTTTTAAATTTATGGAAAAATTGGAGCTTTTGGTAAGTACAGCCAGATTCCTTTAGCTTTTACTTCTATGTACAACATGACCTGTATATTTTTTTTCTTTCCATTTTAGGATGGTCTTGTTAATGTAGGATGGATGGACTGTGCCATCCAGGACAATCTTTGTAAAAGTTTGGATATTACAACAAGTACTACAGTCTATTTTCCACCCGGAGCCACTTTGGTATGAATTACTATAAAGTCATATATCTACATACAAATGCACACACACACAGTCAAATGTATTGCATCATTTATAATCAGTAGTAAAGGAATTAATCATTTTATAATATATAATTATAAACAATTAATTACTTAAAACAAATATTTTATTTCCAGAATTCTGTTTTAACATATATTCAGTTTGTAACACCTATTGGTAAGAATTATTTTCAAACTGGTGTAAACCATTATGCTCTTAAACCCTGAATGTATGGAGTATTTGTTATTGTTGTTGTTAAGTGCCTTCCAAGTTGGTTCCGACCCATAGTGACCTCTTACGTAATATGAAAGAAAGTTTATACCATAAGCTTCCACTGGTTTCTATTTGTATATTTTCTAATGTCAATATATAGCATACTGGTAGATTTGACTGACCCCTAAATATCTGAATTTCTTTTTTTTAGAACTCCCCGTGGGATTCTGAGCAAGCACCGTCATTAATGCACTCAACTGCTAAACCAAAGGTAGGCAGTTCGAACTCACCTATTCTCCACAGGAGAAAAGTGCTTGTTGGCTTCTCTAAAGATTTATAGCCTTAGGAGCTCTATGGGGCAATTCTGTTCTTTTCCATAGGATCGCTGTGATCAGAATAAATTCAACATCAGTAGGTTAGATTCTGGTGTAAATTCAAGTTTAGAGATCTTCTGATATGGTCTACCTCCCTAATTTGATGGATGAGGAAGCTGCGGCTCCAGCAAGGAATTAATATAAATAATGGGCTATGGAACAGATTCATAGGCATTCCAGAAGAAAGTAAAGAACTTTGATGAAAGACAAACTTTAGTTATCTGTGTTCTAATTATGTCCTCTGTTGTTATTAAGATAGCACATAGTCATTACAGAAACTCAAAGTTTGTGGTGGTTGTTTAGTGCTGTCGAGTCAGTTCAATCCCATACGGACCCTGTATAGGGTTTCCAAGAAGTGGTTGATGAGCTTGAACCATCAATCTAGCATTTCAAACTGACTTTGCAGTCTAGCACATTAACCCACAGCACCACAGCAGGACTCCAGTTTAGAAATCTATAAATAAATGAACAAACCACTGTGAATTCAAACCACTCATAGAAAATCACCATCAAATCTTAATCAGTACTCTTCCAGATCTGTACATACATATGCATGCAGTTACGGCTTTGAGCCAACAACTGTCCAGTTAATATCTGTGGCTCAGATCTCTATCCTCCACTCCAAACATGTGTCCTACTGACAATTCAACATCTACCCTGGAATATTAGTTATTTCTAAAAAATTAATATCTGTAATATAGGCTTATCATCATCCCCATAAATCTCTACCTATAATTTTCCCCATCTTATTTGATGACAACTCCATTCTTTATTATTCCGGCCAAAAATGTTGAGCCATTCTTGATATCTCAGTTTCTTTCATACTCTGTTAACAGTTCATTAGGAAAGCCTATGTCTTAATCTTTGTGACTCTTATCTTTAAAATGCTTTCATAATCCACTTTCACTTTGAAAAAAAAAAAAAAATCCACCACCATAAAGTCGGTTCCATCTTATAGCGACCCAATAGGACAAAATAGAACTTCCCCCTCTGGATTTTTAGGACTGTAAATCTATTATCTTTATCAAATTATCTTTTTTTAATTATTCATTTGTAAATTGCTAATTGGGTGCATTGACCATAAACTTTTCATAAAGCATCAGTGATTTCAGCATTCTTCCACCCAGATGTCATCATAAATTTGATATTCTTGTTTCAGTTTTAACAGAATTCATATTGCTTGATAGGAGCTCTTTTCATACTGATGTATGAACATGTAATAATAACATGTCTGAATAATTGTTAGGTATAGTCAAACAGGTTTGGATTCAGAGCGACCCTGTGCACAACAGAGTGAAACCCTGCCCATTCCTGCACCATCCTCACATTGTTAAGCTTGAATCCATTGCTTCTGTTACTGTGCCAGTCCATCTCATTGGAGATCTTCCTCTATTTCGCTGAACCTCCATTTTACCTACCATGATGCCCTTCTTCAGGGACTGGTCCCTCATGAAAATATGAGAAGTAAAGTCTTCTCATCATGACTTCTAGGAAGCGTTCTAGCTCTACTGCATCGAGCGTTGATTTCCTGTTCTTCTAGCAGTCCATGGTGCTTTTAATATTCTCTGATACCATAATTCAAATGCATCAATTCTTCTACAGTGTTCCTTATTCACTGTCCAACTTTCACATACCTATGAGGCAGGTGCACCTGGCTTGTGGCAGGTGCACCTTAGTTCTCAAACTGACATCTTTGCTTTTGAATGCTTTAAAGAGGTTTTGTGCAGCAGATTTGCTCAATGCAATATGTCATTTGATTTATTGACTGCTGCTTCCATGGTGTTAATAGTGGATCCAAACAAAATGAAATCTTTGAAAACTTCAAACTTTTCTCCATTTATCATTTTGTTATTTGTTGGTACAATGGTGATGATTCTTGTTTTCTTTAAATTGAGGTGCAACTCATACTGAAGGCTTTGGTCTTTGAATCTTCATCAATGAGTACTGTAAGTCTTCATTGCTTTTAGTAAGCCAAGTTATATCATCTGTGTATTGCAGGTTAACAAGCCTTCCTCTAATCTTAATGCCATATTCTTCATATAATCCAGCTTCTCAGATTATTTGCTCAGTGATCAAATAAGTATGGTGAGAGAATACAACCCTGGCACACATATTTCCTGACTTTCAGCCATTCACGTGTCCCCTTGTTGGTCTTGAATGACTACCTCTTGGTCTAATGTATAGGTCCTCATAAGCACATTGAAGTGTTCCAAAATACTCATTCTTTGCAATGTTATCCATACTTTGTCATGATCCATACAATTGAAAGCCTTTGCATAGTTAATAAAGCCCAGGTAAATACTTTTCTGGTGTACTCTGCTTTCAACCAAAATCCATCTGGCATCAGCAATGATATCCTTTGTTCCATATCAACTTCTGAATCTGATTTGACCTCTGACAGTTCTCTGTCGATGTACTTTTGCAGGCTTTTTTGAAAAATCTATAGCAAAATTTTACTTGCATTGATATTAATAATATTGTCCAATGATTTCCATATTCCCTTTGATCACCTCTCTTTAGAATAGGCACAAATATGGATCTCTTCCAATCAGTTGGCCATGTAGCCATCTTACAGATTTCTTGGCATAGATGTGTGAGGGCCTTCAGTGTTGCATCAGTTAGTTAAAGGTTTCAATTTTTCTTCTATCAGTTCCAGATCCTTGTTCTTTGTCAGTGCCTTTAGTGCACCTTGGACTTCTTCCTTCAAAATCATTGGCTCTTGGTCACATGCTACTTCTTAAAATGGTGAACATCATCCAGTTGTTGTTTTTTTCTTTTTTTAGTACAATAAGTCTGTGCATTCATTCCACCTTCATATGATGCTCTCTGATTCATTCAGTATTTTGGATGGAGAACCCTTCTTTATTGCTATCGAGGCTTGAATTTTTTTTTTTTTTTCAATTCGTTCGGTTTGAGAAATGCTGAGCATGTCCTCCCCATTTGATTTTCTAACTTCATTATAGTGCTTGACTGTCTTCTTGAGTTACCCTTTGACATTTTCTGTTCAACTCGTGTATTTCCTCATTTCCTCCATTTGCTTTAGCATGTGTACAATGGAAAACAAATTTCAGAGTCTCTTCTGACATCCATTTTCCTTTTCTTTGTCTTCTTAATGACCTTTTGCTTTCTTTTTATGTGATGTTCTTGATGTCATCCCAACTCTTGTTCTTCAGTCTTTAGTTTCTGATGCATCAAATTTGTTTTTGAGATAATCTCTAAATTCAGATGAGATATGGTCAAGGTTAAAGTTTGGCTCTTGTGGACTTGTGTTAATTTTCTGCAACTTCAAGCTAACCTTGCATATGAGAAATTGATGGTCTGTTCACAGTTTGCATCTGGCCTTGTTTTGGCTGATAATAGTACAAGTTTTATTGCAAAAAAAAAAAAATTGAAATCCATGCATATTGTTTTCATAATGCACATTTTCCATGAACTTTTTGAATATTCCCTTGTGATTGACTTAGTCCTCTCCTGATAGGTATTTATGTTTCTACCTTTTTCTTGATAATAAGCAAAAATATAGTAAGCACTCATTTGTTCACCTTTCAGCACTTCTTTAGTTACCTACAGTGTAAAAGCTGTAGTAGTTTTAAATTCAGGTTACTTTCCCACTTTGCCTTCCAGAATAGTTTTACTGGTGTGCATTCTTGACATCAGTTCATGAAGATTGCTCTTGCCTTCAGTACTTCCGTTGCATAATTTACTGAGATTTTTGGACTTCGTGACATAAAATTGCAGTCTCAGATGTTGACTTTGTTGTTAAGTGCCATCAAGTCGATTTTGACTCTTTAAGCATCACTAAATAGGATTGTCAAGGAGCTGCTGGTGGATTTGAACCACTAATCTTACAGTTAGCATTCCCATGCTTATCCTACAGCACCACACCAGTACTCCATTCCATAGTCCTCAACAAATGTGGTTTAACACATCAACTCCAGTGTGGTAAAAAGCTTGAAAAGATCCTTGTATTTGGGAGTTTCTTCTACTATTTTGTCACTATTCAGTGAACCAAATCTGTTTATTGTCAATAGGAGTCAGGCTAACATAGAGAACAACACTTTTCAGAACCTGTTGCCACTTTTCACTTTCAGCCTATATACAGGGAGTGTCATATATTGTTCTGTTATTGTTAAGTGTCGTCGAGTCAGCTCTGAGTCACAGTGACCCTATATGAGAAGCGCTGGTGAGCTTGAACCACTGACTGTGATTTAAACCAAACTTGCAGTCCAGCGCACTAACCTGCAGCTCCACACCAAGACTCCATCATGCTCTGTAGCACTTAGAAATGGAGTCCTAGTGTGGTGCTATAGAGTAAGCACTGAACTAACCACAAGGTTAGTGGTTCAAACTCACCAGCTGCTCCTCAGAAACCGTATACAGGGTTGGTATGAGTTGGAGCCAACTCGATGGCACTGAACAGCAACAACAGCAACAATGCTTACCAATAGACAAATAAGATCTTTCATGTTGATCCAGCTGAAATCATTAGATAATCTGCACGCAGATAAAATCCTTCACAGTTAGGCAGAGCCTCATTTGCTCCCCAGTAAACCCCTTGCTCTTTCTTTTCCCTTGACCCAAAGGTTTCCACCTCTAACTTGTAAAACGGAAGTTGTCACCATTTTGTTCTTGTGTCACTTGCTAATGTTTTATTTAGTCAGTAAAGCATGCTCAGTTTCAGCATAAATCTTTCTTCCTGTAATCATTCGAAGAGTGTCAATTAGTGAACGTTTGATTGGGAGATCTGTGATTTCCTCAGCTTAATTTCAGCACTTTTGAGCCAGTTTTGCATCATCTTTTTTTAACTGACTGTCTTTTTGGCAAAAGAATAATATTTTCATGTAGCAAATCTCATCTTTAGCCTCATAGCACATCTTCATTACTGCCACTAAGATATGGAATGTAGGAACCATATCACAAGTTATGCAGGTCTGTTTTTCCAAAAACAAAAGAATTGGAAATGACATCTTAAAGTCTTGGGCAATCCTCACACTCAAGCAGATGTTGTGATTCACAGTGGCGCTGTAGTGACCTTCCTCCATCTGCCTGTTCCGAGCCACCGTCTTACCTTGGTTTCTGCTCGACTGTCCATTGGCTTCCCCTGTTGTAGCCATTCCTCTTCACCACACTTTGCAGTCCAGTTGTTTGTGTTTTAAATAAGATACATAGATCTAAATCATATATAAGATAAGATCTTTGTTGGTATGTTTTACAAAACTCCTATTTTTAGAGATTTAACGTTTGTGAAAATCTCTAAAATAAGCACTAAGATCCATTCCACTTTCTCACTTCTAAGTTCTCATCACACTGTGAATTATTAATTGAGGTCTGTCATGTCTTAAAACCAGTTGCGATCGAGTCAACCCCAACTTTTGAGTAACCCACATGTGTCAGAGTAGATTGCACTCAGTAAGGTTTCCAATGGCTTATGGTTTATTTTTTATGGGAAGTAAACTGTCAGACTGTTCTTGGGGGAGGCATCTCTGGGTGGACTTGAGCCTCTACATCTTTCAGTTAACATCCAAGTGAGTTCATTGTTTGCACCACCCAGAGACTTCCCATGAGATTTCATAGATAATCTGAGAAGAATCTGTAAAGCACTGGAATTCTAGAAAACTTGGTTAGCATTAAAATGAAACTAAACATAATCCAGGTTTTTCCTGATGATTCAGAGGTTACACTAGCATTTTATGCTTTTCTCAAGGGTGTTATGTGGCTTTTCTTAGAATACATTGCACAATGAATAGACAGTTGCAGTTAAAAAAAATATATAACAGTAGCTCTTTAAAATAATTTGCATCACAAGTTTAAGAAAAAAATCAGTTATGTAATAATTGCTGAAAATAGGACATGCTTTCTTTGGGGAGGACAGCATATATGAAATAAATATGCTTGAAAAACTAACTTATGATTGTTTCCTTAGAAGTTCAACTATGGAAATAGAAAAACATTTAAAACACTAAATATAATAAATGTATATTTATTCAAAATGTTATAATATTATTCTCTTATTCTAGTTTCTTAATTCATTGGATGCTAAAGAAATCTATTTGGAAATAATGAAAAATCTCCCAGATTTTGAACTACTTTCTGTAAACACATTAGAGGTAATGTTTTAATTAATAGTGTTAAATAGTACTAAATATTGATACCATTTTCAAATCGTAACATTTTATTCGTCACAATAGAGAATTAAAAATGCCGCTTCAAAGAAATCTCTGTTAGTTCTAGATTGAACTCTAGATTGTTGCATTTGAAGGTTTTGCTAATGAGTAAGTGCTTTTTCCAGGAAGGTAGCAGAAGAAAAGTGAGATTTTGAACAGAAAGCAATTTGGATTTGCTTTTGGAACATTGTGCTCTTGTTTACAGAACTATTTATATTTTTCACTGAGAATTAAGAAACTACTTTAGTAATAATTCAGTCTGTGGTGGAATCAATTCATTTTTCTCCTTACTCATCCCAGAGCTTTCTATGTCTGTTTCCCTACCAAATCTTTCATTAAAACCAAAATAACCTACTATGATGTTTAGTATGTATTTTTTAAACCTTATTTTCATTGGGTTTTTTAAATTCAAATTATTAAAGATTTTTAATTTACAGTTCTTACAAAACTAAACTTACATAATTAAACTATTAAAGACTATGAATGACTCTGAATTATATGCAGTTTTTTTAAGTAATTGGTAGGGTGGATAAAATTAACTTTAAGTCAGATAGATAAAAATAAGAACTTTCCATCTCTGATATTTTTTCTCTTTATTACTTTTAAGGATCGTTTGGCTTATCATAGATGGCTCTTATTTTTTGAATTTGGACAAAATAAAAATTCAAATGATCCTGAGTTGAAGAAACTGAAAACCCTACTTAAACATGAACATATTCAAGTAAGAAAATGTATTCTGCCTAGCCTTAGGCTTTTTGTGCTTTCTTGTTAATGTAATATATATAATTAAATTTTAATAACATAAAAAGCAACTCCACTGTATTACTATTTTGAAATTCTCTGTTAAGAATCCTGTAAGTGTTTTGTTGTGTGTTTTTTCTTTTTTCCATTAAAAATTAATACTCGAAAGTAGTTAGCTTTCATTTCTAGTTGCCATGTGATAAATCTATGTCATGCATTTTTTCCCCCAATACAAATACTTTTAAAAATTCATGGAAATATTCCATAATCTTTTAAATCTGTTTTCCCACAAACTTTGAAGCCCCTCCTACAAGTTGTAAGAACCCCTGATAGCATAGTGAATTCTGAGCTGAGCTGCTAATTGCATAGCCAGTAGTTCAAATCTACCAACTGCTTTGCTTTCTGCTCTCATAAAATATACAGCCTCAGAAACCCTATGCAGGGTTACTAGGAATCAGAACCAACTTAACGTCACACAGCCACCACTACTACGACCTTCATGCTATAAAAATTATGTTTTTATCTCTCTCCATACTTTGTCCATTGTTTAAAAAATAGAATATATAAGAAACTAGAAAAAATGAGCTAGGATAACTAAAAATCACCCATACTCCCACTACTGACAGAGCTTACTATGTGACTTTTCATACCTTTTGTAATTATGTATATGTATGAGTATGTCTATATTTGTGTATGTATGCATATGCATACATATTGTAATAGATACAGACGTAAATTACTATACATACTTTTTAATGAAAAACGGGTTAACCGTAAACTGTTTTGTAAATTTTTTCATTCAGTAATATAAGTTTCTTCACATGACAGTAAAATATCTATGTGTACTGTGCATATCATCATTTCTAAAGGCCCAGTATTATTTCACTATATGATTATACCATAATATTGTTTCATTGTTAAGTTGTATACACTTTTATATCAAATAGTGCAGCAGTTGTCTAGTTATTTCCTTAATATGAGGACTTTTCATTCAAAGATTGTATAATTTCTTAAATATTATTTTATCCTCACTACCAGAGAATTTATACCAACTTATGATTCTCGTTGTCAGTATGTGAGTGGACATTTCTCTGCGTCTTTGTTGGTCATGTTAATCTCAGTTGACCAAACGTGATGTGTTAACAGTTTTCACTTTCATTTTTTGCTTTTTAGTCATATTTTTCACCACTGATCTGTCAGTTTGTTTCACTGTGGTGGCTTATGTGTTGCTGTGATGCAAGACCAATGACTAACTCATTACAAATACTTTTTCTCAACAACGTAAAAAGAGACTATGCATGTGGACCTCACCAGAAGGAAGACACAGGAATGAAATTGACTATACCTCTGGGAAGAGACAATGGAGAAGCATAATATCATCAGCCAAACATGGCCAAGGGCACACTGTGTGGAACAGACCACGCTCAAATGTAAGTTCAGGCTAATGCTGAAGAAAATGAGAACAAGTCCATAAGAGCCAAAATATGACCTTGAATATATCCCATCTGAATGTAGAGAGTACTTCAAGAACAGCTTTGATTCATGAGACACTAATAACTAAGATCAGAAGAACTAAAGGATGACATCAAGAACATCATACATGAAGAAAGGCAGTCAGGAAAGAAAGAAAAAAACAAAATGGATGTTAGAAGAGACAGGGAAACTTGATCTTGAACAAAGAGAACCTAAAGAGACTGAAGGAAATGAGAAAATAAAACAGCTGAGCAGAAAATTTCAAAGGGCAGCTCTAGAAGACAGCAAGTATGATAATGAAATGTGCAAAGACCTGGTGTTTGAAAGAACCAAAAGGGAAGACCACACTCAACATTCCTCTAGCTAAAATAATGGAAGAAAAAAATTAAGCATCAAGTTGCAATATTGAAGGATTCTATCTCTGGTAGCATAGTGGTTACAAATCGGGCTGCGAACCTCAAGGTCAGCAGTTTGAAACTACCAGCTGTTCCGCCAGAGAAAGATGAGGTGTTCTGCTCCTGTAAAGATTTACAGCCTCGGAAGCCCTGTACAGGGTCGGTAGGAGTCGGAACTGACTCACAGCGTACAGCCACCACCACCATTGGGAAGGAGTCCTGGTGTGCTGTAAGTAGGATAACCACTGGACTGCAAGGTTGGCAGTTCAAACTCAATAGCTGCTCTTTGGAAACCCTATACAAGTTTGCTCTGAGTGAGAACCAATTCAAGGACACTTACCAACAATAACAATATATTGAAGGATATATGACACATCAAAAGAAATTGGAAGCAGTGCAAAGATTCAGTTTACCAAACAGAACTGATCAGTATCCAGCCTTTCAAGAGGTAGCATATGATTAAGAACCAATGGTATTGAAGAAAGAAGTTCAAGCTACACAGAAGGCATTGGCAAAATTGTAACAAGGCTCCAGGAATTCATAGAATACAAATTAAAAATACTTCAAGAAATTGGTGCAGAACTGGAGGTGTTCAGTCGCCAATGCCAAGAAATTTGGAAGACAACTCTTTGGCCAACCGATTGGAAGAGATCCATATTTGTGACCATTTCAAAGAAAAAGTGACCCAACTGAATGCAGAAATTATTGAACAATATCATTGTTACATGCAAATAAAATTTTGTTGAAGGTAATTCAAAAATGGTTACAGCTGTACCTTGACAGGGAGCTGCCAGAAATTCAAGCTGGATTCAGAAGAAGCCATGGAATGAAGGATATCATTGCTGATACCAGGTGGATCTTGGCTAAAAGCAGAACACTACCATACCAGAAAAATATCTACTAGTGCTTTATTTACGGTGCAGAGACATTCGACAGTATAGATCGTAACAAACTGTGGACAGTATTGTGAAGAATGAGTATTCCAGAACACTAAATTGTGCTCCTGTTGAACCTGTACATAGACTGAGTGCTTTCAAACACAACAAAGGGAAATTGAATGGTTTAAAATCAGGAAAGGTATGTCCTTTTACCATACTTAATCTATTTGCTGAGGAAATCATCCAATAAACTGGGAGAATGTGGCATCAAGAAGACTTATTAACAACCAATTACTATCTGCAGATGACACAATCAAGCGTGCTGGAAGCAAAGAGGTCTTTAAATCATTACTGGTGAAGATCAAATACTGTAGCCTTCAGTAGAGATTATACTTCACAACAGGATCATTACATTACATCACAATAAATGGAGAAAAGTTTGAAGTTGCCAAAGACTTCATTTTGCTTGGATCCGCAATCAACAGTCATGGAAGCAGAAGTCAAGAAATCAAATGACATATTGCATTGGGCCAATCTGCTTCAAAAGATCTCTTCAAAGTGTTCAAGAGCAAAGATGTCCATTTGAGGACTAAATTGCACCATGATATTTTCAGTTGCCTCATATGTGTGTGAAAATTGGAGAATGAATAAAGAAAACTGTGTGGTGTTGGTGAAAAATATTGAAAGTATCAGAGTGTTTCTTTGTTATTCATAAGGTTTTCAGTGGCTAAACATTCAGAAGTAGTTCACCTCTCCTTCTAAGTCTGTCTTAGTCTGGAAGGTCAGCTGAAACCTGTCCACCATGGGTGACCCTGCTGGCATTCAAAATAGTGGTGGCATAGCTTCCAGCATCACAGCAATATGCAAACCACAACTGTATGACAAACTGACAGATGAGTGGTGAAAGTTGGACAGTGAATAAGGAAGACTGCAGAAGAATTGATGCATGTGTGTTGTATTGGAGAATATTTTAAGTACTATGGACTGCCAGAAGAACAAACAAATCTATGTTGGGAGAAGTACAACCAGAATGCTCCTTAGAAGCCAAAATGACCAGACTTTGTCTCTCATATTTTGGATATAATATCAGGAGGGACCAATCCCTAGAGAAGGACATTGTTCTTTATAAAGCGAAGGGTCATTAAAAAAGAGAGAGACCCCCAAGTAGATGCATTAACACAGTGTCAGCCGGAATGCGCTCAAGCTTAGCACCATTTGTGAGGATGATGCAGGACCAGGCAGTGTTCCCTTGTTGTACATGGGTCGAAAATGACTTGATGGCACTTAACAACAAACATAGACTAGTAGTATTGTTATTTTTAAGTGCTGTCGAGTCAGTTCCTACTCATAAAGACCCCATATAGGACTTCTGAGGAGTTGTTGGAGGGCTTGAACTCCAACTTTGTGGTTTAGAAGTCCAGTGCTTTCCTAAAGCGTCACACCAGAACTCCATGGACTGCCAAAAGAACAAACAAATGTGTTTTGGAAGGACAACCAGAATGCTCCTAGCGGTGAGGACAGCAAGACTTTGTCTCTTGTGCTTTGGACATGTCAGGTGAACCAGTCCCTAGAGAAGGCAATCATGCTTGATAAAGTACAGAATTGGTGAAAAAGAGGGAAACCTGTAACAAATTGAACTGTCATAGTGGCAGCAACAATGGCGTCAATCATAACAATACTAGTGAGGATGACAGAACCAGACAGTGTTTCGTTCTGTTGTGTATAGGGTCATTATGAGTCAGAACTAACTTAATGTTCTGACTCATGTTGTTGTTAAGTGCTGTTGAGTCAGTTCCGACTCATAGCGACCCTGTATAGGGTTTCCGAGGAGCAGCTGGTGAACTTGAACCATCAACTTTGCAGTTTAAACCAACCTTGCAGCCTAGCACATAAACCCACAGCACCACACCAGGACACCTTCTGACTCATAGCGACCCTGTAAAGGGTTTCTTTCTTTTCTAGTTTATTTGGTCTTTGTGTCCCTGATCTATTTTATTTTACCTGACAGGATGTTAGTTTATCCTTTTTTTTTTTTAATGGATTTTTTTTTCTTAAATGGTGCAAATACTTCTGCTCAATTTCTCATTTGATTTTTAATTTTATTTATGCTAATTTCTGCCACACTGTAGCTGAAGTCATCAACTTTTTTCTTCATTATTTCTGCTTTTGACTTTGTTCTTATTGCATGTTCCTTCCTCGTCCCAAGTTTATTTAACTATTCCCTATATTTTGAAGTATAGATTTCTTAAACACCATACTTTTTACAAATTTCTTCTCAGGTTTTAAAGTCTCTGGTGGTAGTGTGCCATCGAGTTGGTTCTGACTCATAGCAGCAGTGCATAGGGTTTCCCAGGCTGTACATTTTTACAGGAGCAGAAAGCCTCATCATTCTCGCATGGAATGTTTGCTAGTTTCGAACTGCTAACGTTGAGGTTAGCAGCCTGACTTGTAACCACTACACTACCAGAGCTCCTTTTTAAAGTCTCTATAGGAAACTTTTATTTAAACTAAATTGAGTTTGTTGTTGTTAGTGCCGTTGAGTCAATTCTGACTCATTATGACCCTATATATGGTTTCTGAGGAGCAGCTGGTGGGTATGAACCACAAACCTTGTGATTAGCAGTCTAGTGCTTATCCTACAGTGTCACACCAGGAGTTTGAGTGGTATTGAATGTAAATGAGTTATTTCTATCTCTTACTAAATATTTTTTTATTGGCCTTATTTCTCAGCAAAGTTTTTTTTTAATTTATGAATATTTAAAACTCGCATTTTTAAGATTTTATGTTAATGTCCGATTGAGCGCTAACCTTCGCTCTCTTCTTTAGATTGGCAGGTTTGACTGCTCATCTGCACCAGACATCTGTAGTAATCTCTATATTTTTCAGCCATGTCTAGCAGTATTTAAAGGACAAGGAACCAAACAATATGAAATCCATCATGGTAAGAAGGGGAAACATGACAAAAATCTGTTCTATTTATTTTCTTAGAGTAATTTTCTAATTTCTACATTTTGTCTTTTGTGTATATGAGTACAAATTTTGGAATAACTTTGCTCTTATTTATTAGTATACATGTTTCTTATGGCGGAAAATTAAATTATATAGTTTTTTTTATATTCTGCTCTTTGTAAAATGGGTAAGTTTTTCTCTGCTCAGTATTTTGATCCGTGTTTCAACAAAACCTCCGGAGAGGCACATCAGGCTAATGAGTCAGCCGGGGTCCTACTTGTTAGCCAAAGTACACAACACCTACAGCTTCCAGTCTATAAGCTATAGCTTCTCATCCATTATGGACAGTTTTCAAAAGGTTTTCGGAAATTTTTCTCCACTAGCCTACCAAACGTTTCCATAATCCACTTTGTTATCTACATTTCTACATTTAGTATTGAGCTCATTTAAGTACTGTCCCAATTCTTCAAGTTCTGAAACATCACAGTCCCTGTCCTGAAGGAGGTAACTTAATAGCAAAACACACACACAAACTACTAACCCCAGTGCAGTTTACTGAGAAACAGATATTTGTTGTTGGGTTGTTAGGTGCCATCGAGTTGGTACCGATTCACAGTGACTCATAGCAACAGACATTTAGGAAATGCATTTTATGTGAAAAGCAAGAAGTCTAGAATGCAGTCTAATGGGTGAGGCACATCTATTAAGAAAATGTGAAGACTATCATAATGGCCGTTATGTATAAATTAGAAAAAGATGGAATAAAGAGACTTCTGCAGGGTAGAGGTAAGGAGGTGGCATTTGAATTGAGTATAAACTGCTCAGATTCCCAAAGCAAATAAGTGAGAAATAAGTAAAGCTTTTTCAGCAGAAGGATAGACTTAACAGTTATACCTATTTTTTGGATGCTTTCTATGAAAGTCAGATGCTTTTCTAAATGCTTTCCACACATGATCCATTTTTATCATTATAACAGCTCAGTGAAGGATAAAAATGAGACGCAGAAATGTGAAACAGCTTACCCCGTGTTAGACAACTATTAGCTTAATAAGGTATATTTTTAAACCAAAGCCTAGGCTTATAACCACAGGCTACACCTCCTTCTCAAAAGCGCTCTGAATGACTGGATTTCAGTAATGGCATTCTGTTCTTTTTTACAAACTCTGAAATACTTTTGAGCTTCCCCTCTTGTTTGCTAGCTTAGTTCAGGTCCATCATCTGTAACTATTACAATAACCTCCCACAGGTTGTCCAGCGAAGCTCTTTACTCTTTACAGTTGATTCTTTGTTTTATTTGCAGAGTTAATAGTCCCAAGAACACCATTCTCATGTCACTTCTCTGTCCAAACTCCTGACTGCTTTTAGAATAGACTAACATTTTCTTAGCATAAGGACAGTGATTTAATCTGTTTTGCTCAGAAGAGTACCTAGAATGATAACTAATATATATTGTTAAATGCTATCAAGTGAATCCTGAATCACAGCAACCCTGTATAGGGTTCAAGGAGTGCAGTTACATAACAGTCCAATACTTATCCTACAGAGCCACACCAGGACTCCTAGCATATATTAGCAACCCAGTAAAAAATTATACTTTAATGAAGTACATTTATAATCTCTCTCTGCCAGGGTTTCTAGCCTCATCTCCTGTCTCTGCCTCTCTGAGTGATCTTAGGCTGAACCATTATCTCAGAAACTCTTAATCACTCTTTAAAATATAACTTTAAGCATTTTCTTTCTTAAGAAATCTGTAAAACTCCAAGCAGTCACTAAATTTATAACCTGTATTAATTCATTGTGTTTAAATAGGTATTGAACATCTATCTGTGCCAGGTAAAATACCAGAGAGTAAAAAATATAGTGAACTACACGTAATCTCTACCTTAACATTATGGACTAACAGTTAAAGTAGACAAGTTAAAAAATGTGTGGCATATTTTGTTATCTATTGCTTGAGTTTAAAACAATAAACATTAACTCACACAGTTTCTTGGGAGTCAGGATTCTGGGAATAGCTTAGCTCGTGGTTCTGGTTCTGTTTTCATAAGTTAAGATACATCAGAGCTGTAGCCATCTGACTGAGGCTAGAGGATCTGGTTCTAAGTTCACTGGGTGCCTCACTAACTGTTGACTAGAGGCCTCAGTTCCTGACCACAAGACTTCCCTCTAGGACTGCTTATGACGTGGCAGCTGCCTTCCCTTAGCATGAGTGATGAGACAGAGAGACCAAGGCAGAAGCTTCTGTGTCTTTTTCCACCTGATCTTGGACTAGTCAAACCATTGCTTCTGCCATATTCAGCCACACACCAACCCTGGTACATCATAGGAGGGAACTCTACAAAGGTGTGAATATACAAGATAGGGGTCATTGGGGGCTGTCTAGGAGATTAATTACTACAAGGGAAAAGTTTGAGTGATACTTAAGAGCAACACTTAGAACAGTCTTCTAGGGTCAGAGAAGACTCTGGAGAAAGAAATCTGTACTTGAGACCTGATGTAGGAGTAATGCTTACCCAGATGAAGAGAAGGAAAAAACATCCCTGGTACAGGACCAGTAATTACATTGATGACTGCTCTGATAGGAGAGCGCTATTTATTCTTTGAAAACAATTTCAGAATAGCTGGAATGTTGAGTGTCATGGAAGGAATGAGACTTGAGGCTTGAAAGGGTAACGGGAGTCCAAACTATGGCAGTGTTTCATCTGCCAGGTAAATGAATTCCAACTTTATCCTGAGGGCAGAGCAGAGCATTCACAGATGTTAAGTAGGGATATGATTTAGCTGGTTTGATATTTTAGGAAGGTGAATGATTGCATAGAATGGAAGGGAGAGCAGTGCGAGTCCTGGTGCAGTCGTTTATGTTAGGCAGGAGCCATAACTAAGGGTAAGGAGAAGTAGGCAGATTTAAAATACCAAGAGCACAGAATTATAACCTAGTGATGATACTTTAGATGTTGGGGGAAAGAGACAAGGAAGTCAAAGATGGCACCCATGTTTCTGACTTGATGAATTGGCTAGTGAACTTGCCATAAGATGCAGAAGAGATGATGGGTAAGGGACTGATTTGGAGTGTAGACACCTAATTTGTAGTTGAATACAGGACTGGCCTTAAGGAGCTCTGGTAGCGTAGTGGTTACGAATCGGGCTGCGAACCGGAAGGTCAGCAGCTCGAAACTACCAGCTGCTCCGCGGGAGAAAGATGAGGCGATCTGCTCCCGTAAAGATTTACAGCCTCGGAAACCCTATTCAGGGTCGCTATGGGTCAGAACCGACTCGACGGCACTTAACAACAACAACAACACAGGACTGGCCTTAGGAGATGAGAATATAAATAAATAAATTTAAATATTCAGTATGTTGATGGTAATTAAAGCCTTGGGGAAGGATAAGATAGTCTAGAGTGGCTACAGGGAAAAGAATAGAGGATCAAGATAACAGCCCTTTAAGGGATGGTCAGAGATAGAGGAAATTGTCCAGCATTTTCAAGAAACAGGTAAAAAGAGTAAAGAGAAAGCAGGTGGTGTCACTGAACACTATACAAAGGACCTTCAAAAAGTCCATAGGAAAATGGAATGAAAAGGTAATAGAATTTTTCCATGAATTTTTTGAAACCTTCCTTGTATATTTAAATAGTTGTAAAAATTTCTCCTCTACTGGGCTTTGAACTCCTTAAAGACTCACTATAACTTGCATTCCCTAAAGCATTTAAAACATACTCTGCTCAATACAAGGGTGCATAAAAAACTTGGTGGAATAAACCTTTCAATTCTATTTTTCCGTGAATTTTTTGAAACACCCTTATATTAACTTCTTATCTTAATTTTGAGTATTGAGTAGGTAAATCCAAGGGTACATGGGAAAGTGGATTCAGTTCTGGTTAGGTAAACTTATTTATTTACTAAACCAAGGAGTATATGCTTTAAACAATGGCAGATCACCAGAGGCCTTTAAGCAAGAGGACAATACGACTAGCTTAAGGTTTTTGTAAGTAGACTGGTGGCAGTATAGCATGGAGGCGATTGTAATCATTGCAACGAAATGAAATACGATAGGATGAATATAAAGCTGTTGTGCTCCCATGTAAACTATCACTCAATTCACAATAAAAACTTTAAAAAAGACAATCTAGTAATAATCTGAAGATAGTTTTAAAATTGCAATAAAAATTCTATTGATTACGTCATCTTAAGAAATAACAGTGGATTAGTTAAGGAATACTGGAGCAGAAAGACTAGCTTGATTATTACAGTAGGCCAGACTGAAATTCAGGCAGTAGTAACAGCTTTGGAAATGTAAGAGAAGGGATAGAATTTATGATACAAAGGCTGAGAAATAAAGTCAAGGATAACTCTAGGAGAAGCTATGTGAGCACCCACTGGGTTATTGGCAAGATAGAGAAAGTATGAGACAAGAAAAATTTTAATAAATTTGCCTCAGTTGTGATGCACGTCTTTGAAATGCACATGTCACATCTTGGCAAATGTTTCCACTAATCAGTTGGCAGTAAGGGTTTTGAAATACTGAGAGAGGTATAGAGTTAAAGATATGAATTGGGAGTTTGGTAAAAAAAAAGTACTGTAAGACTGACTCCTTTAAAGACGTGGTTATCGGGCCTCTGAGGATGAAGCATTATTTCAAAGACGTCTTGATATTTTAATTGATTATCTAATGAGCAAATAGGTACTAGGTCAGAGCATGCTAGACAACAAACACATGTAACAACCAAAAACTAAAACCTCGATTTTCTTTAATATTTTAGGTTTAAAACATTTGAAATGTTTCTACAGATACAAAGGGCAGAATGTGGGTTTTAATTTTTCTCTTATTCCATCTCAAAGGAAAGATGATTCTGTATGATATACTTGCATTTGCCAAAGAAAGTGTTAATTCTCACGTTACTACACTTGGACCTCAAAATTTTCCTGCCAATGAGAAAGAACCATGGCTTGTTGATTTTTTTGCCCCTGTAAGTTGTTTTTATATCTGTTTAATTTCAGTATTATTTGATTTTCTCTTTTCATAGCAAAGACATTTTCTAGATAACCTTGAGTCATTAATAGTATAACTTTATCATACATTGTTGTTGGTCAGCATCACATATTGCTTCTAAATGAGCACTGATGTACTTGTCCTTCCAAATCTGCAACTAAGTATAATTCATCTTAACATATGAGGGTAAGTCTAAAAGTTCTGCTAACAAAATCATTGGTATCTTTATTAAGCAAAAATTTCAAAATGTGAAACAATTGTTTCTCAACATAGCCTCCATCTAGTCTGTACACTTCTGAAGGTGGTATTTCCATTTCTCTCGGCAACCCCATATAGGGTTGCTATGGGTCAGAACCAACTCAACGGTGAATTCTTTCCCCAATAATTCTGCCCTCTTCAATTTATGCCACATGAAAATGGCAACTTTGACATCCTTGAGGGATTCAAACTCATTCCTTTTAAATTTTGGGAACAAAAAATTTTGAAGGGGCAAAATCAGGGCTACAGAGTGTAATGGGGTAACATTTACCAAAGAAGTTCTCATGTAACAGTCCTTGCTACCCTTGAAGAATGAGCAAGTGCATTGTCATAATGGAAAAAAATCCTTGACCCAACTCTTCTCATTAAAGCAGTTCTCCATTTTCTTGAAAGTTCTTCATAACAACTCCCTGATTGATACCCTGTTTTCGTTGAGAAAACCTGTCAAGATTGTTGTTAAGTACTGTGGAGTCGGTTCCAACTCATAGTGACCCTGCACAGGGCTTCTGTGGCTGTAAATCTTTACTGGAGTGGGAAGCCTCATCTTTCTCCCAAGGAATGGCTGGTAGTATTAAACTGCCAACCTGTTTGATTCATAACCACTACCTCTTTCTGTCAAAATTACCCCTTGGGAATTCCTAAAAACAGTCTTCACCATAACCTTGAATTTAACTGACCCACCAGATTCCCTTGGAAGCCTGTGTTTTAATCGGACACTTCTTTTGAAGACACACTAATGAGAATAAGACAGATTTATTACTAGGAAACATGTCTGCAGCCATTCACTGATTGCAGACATGTTTGAACATGTTTCGTTTGGAATGTATGAACTGGAGCTTTAACAGCAATACTTTTTGACCTGCCCTCGTATCAATTGTTGTAGAAATGACACTTTTTGTTTCATTTGGTTCAGTGCTAATTGATGTGTTTTTTTCTTTCATAGTGGTGTCCGCCATGTCGGGCTTTATTGCCAGAGTTACGAAAAGCTTCAAAGCATCTTTATGGTCAGCTGAAGTTTGGTACACTAGATTGTACAGTGCATGAGGGTCTCTGTAGCATGGTAAGTCACAAGTCTCAACAGGATTCTGATTGACTTTTTTTTAATAGGCCTTTTGCCAGTCTAATATAAAATATAAAATGTTCATTTTCCATTTAATGTAGCAAATAGTTTGAACAAAATTATATAAAATTATGATCAAATTAAAACATTAATAGAATGCTGGTATGACACTATAGGATAAACACAAGACTACTATCTGCCAGATAGGCAGTTCAAATCCACCAGCTGCTCTGTAACCCTTATTTAAGGTCTCTGTGAGTCAGAACCACCTTGACAGCACATAACTACAACAGATCATCTGTGTTACTGAATGTAGATATGATCTTTAATCAAAATAAGGGAAGTATTTAGTTGACTTAATAAAATAGTTACATGATTTTCTAATTATTTAAGGTCTTTAAGCATGGGATTGCAAAGTCTATTTGAATCAAGAAGTAAGTGGTTCAGGATCACCAGCCGCTTTCAGAAACCCTCTACAGGGTCGCTATGAGTTGGAACCGACTCAACAGCACGTAACAACAACAGCAACATATGTATAAGTATACCATATGCACATATATAAGGATCTTAAACAGTTAGAAAGTCATGTAAATATGTTATCAAGCCAAGTAAATACTTCAGATATACAAGAATTCAGACTGGAAGGATAAATTTAATGAATTT